AGTTAAAAAAATCACCAGCTCCTAGACTAATAAAAAGTGTTTTGAGTTGATATTTATAGTGTCCCAGACTTGGCCCTGCATCAGCTAAACAAAATAATAAATGATGACAACTGTCTTTTGTTCTTATAATCTTTGTCTTTCAATCACGACCTTTTGTCTGGAATAGTAATGATTTCTCCACTTTTTGTTGAAATCAGAAACAAGAACTTAGACGTTTCTAATTATCATCAAAATTTCGTCTCCATTATTTCATGAAAATTTATTAAGGAACGTCGATTAGTAGGAAAAATCATACCCACAATTACGTTTCGTGGTAAAAGAAGAAGAGAGTCAGAACCGAAGTTAATAAGATAAACTAAGTTTTACTTTGGAATGTATGCCGAATGCAGATGAGGCATTATTCGTGAGTGACAGGGCAAATATTTATGCGCTGGTGTAGGTGTTATAAAGTGCGAAAAGGAAGAAGGAAATTGTACTAGTACATTAGCGTTTATTCCCCAACTTTCCAGACTAAGTAATGCAGGGTTAAGGTGGCAAGAGTTTGGATAAATTATTCGAAATGCGCGTTAAGTGTAAATGTGGCCAATTTGCATAAGGTAACAACGCACTATAACTAAACTGAAATTCGTCCGAAGCAGGGCAAGAAAACAAAGAGCACCCGTTCGAAGTGGCTGCAGCAATAAAAGTCGCTCTAAATCTTGTTTTCGCGCCGACGCTTCAACATTCAAAATATAAATCTATTAGCAAACATAACTGTAAGTAATTACACCTGCTGCGAGGGGATCCGATACCCTCTGAGTTTCAGGAAGATCCAAATTACCCACAGATAAGTCAGACTTCATTATATCTTAAAGCACCTCCTTTGTAAATTAACAGCGACAAAGAAACTCATCAAAGACAACAACCTCGAATTTTAACAACAAAAATCCGCACAGACTTGTAGATATTAATCTTGCAGCCACATCTATTCGAAGATTTTCCATTTAACGCAGAAGCGCAAAATGTCAAACTAATTAAAAACTTCCCAACTGCAGCTGCGTCTAACCCTTTATCCATCCCAAAATAAAAGAAATTACTTTATTACAAGCACAATGCCATCTGAGCTAAATAAAACTAGGCACAAATATTGAGAGGTAAAAAGTGTAAAAAAATTGAAACTGCCTTTACAATTTGTAGAAAAGTGTTTGCTTCAAGTAAACGTATGCAAAATAAGAAGCGATTTTCTACAAATGATTTTCCTTGAAGGTTTGCTGCTTGTAGCATTTTGCAATTTAAAAGACAAAGTTTGTATAACTCAATAGAAGCATTAATTGTGATCAAAATTTTCTACAAACAGTTAAACCCTTAAAAAGTGGCCTAATTGGATAAAAGCAACGTTGAACGTTTAAAACAACTAATAAACACGGTCAATTACGATGAAATTTTGTGTGGGCATAGGACAAAGTTCGTTCAAAGCTCATCTTTTCATTATATACGCCCTGGTGAAGAGTAACGCAATTATCTGTGAGCTGAAGAGAAAGTAATGGTGGAGGGATGACGTCCAGAGAAATGTGCTGCACTACACCCCTCATTGTGTTTCATCACTAGTGATAATATTTTCGGCAATTCTTATCACGTGACGGCAATTTTGCCCTATTCTCTTCTATCCGTAACGGGGTATTAAAAACGCCCGACTTGCTTCATCAACCTCACATAAATGCCACAAACGCTGAACCACACGAAAACAAAACCAAAGATAAATGAAAATGAAAATTAAATGAATCGCAAAGTTTTTATTACTTGCGATTAAAACTACGTCTGATTTGTTTTGTATAAATTGATGACAGTGATATTTAAGATATTTATTTTATTAAATTTTTATTTTTTCTTGTTTCACTTCTCATTTATCATTTTTCTTAAAACTCATCTAGACCCAATTACGAAATCACAAAGCACTGCATTTTTTCTTAGAGTAGGTAGGTAGTCTGTAAATATAAAATAAAATAAATTATAGAGTAGCGTTTTTGGCATTTTAGGGCCTAGTCGATGTCAACATAGCCCCCATCACGTCGAAACTGACCACCTCTCGGGCTGTGGATCGATAAGACATCTTTCCCTGTGAATTCGCCTTGACACGAGACTGAAACATCGGTCATCCCGAATCTCTCGCGTGTTGAAATCCAACTAACAAGGGAGGCATTCACCCTCACCGTGAAAACTTCATTTATGCGATGCGCTACGTGAGAAATGCCCTTAACGCCAACAAAAGAAACGTTTATTTATTATGTTATATGAGAACGTTATTACGTTTTTATATCTGGCGCACGTAAAAAATATACGCGGCCACGTAAAAGAGTTTATGAGGAAGAAGCAGCGTTGGGAATTCATTCTTTCAGGAACTTTATTTGACACACAGATCGCGAACTTTATTAAGAATTCTCTAACTGAAAATAAACAAATCGGCACGGAATCGCCAGTTCACGTGAATTGTGTCGATAGGACGCTGAAGAATTGGATGCCAGATGCTGAAAATATATCTAAACAAACCGAGAAACGGCTGTATTTCAGAATAATTGAGTACGGTGTTGTTAAAGGATATAACAAAATATATAATATAGCTGGAGAGGAACATAAAAGTTTGCGTCGGGCATAAGAAACAATATTTACGGTCATTTCTTTGTGCCATAAGAATAATTTAATTGGCCTTACTTTATTTTCAAATGTACTTTTTATAAACATTACATTTAGTTATATTTCATTTCAAAAATGTTCTCAATTTCAAGGAAAATTTAAATGATGATGCAAAGTAGAAAATTCCTCTGAATTATGAGTGAGTTTATTCGTTATGATTATGAATTATGAATATTAACGAAGTTCACTACTGACTGATTTGCATGAAATTTAATATTTCGTTTTCTACTGTACACAGATATTCTACTTCTCTTGAAGTTAGTTAAATAAGGTTACATCTTAAAACCATTACTTTATTTCTGCTTGAGTTCATTTACACCCTAGTAATGTTAAGGAGTTTCTAATAACTTTGCAAGAGGTAATTGAACTAATTTGCATAGTTCGTAACCATAATGTGCACCAGATAATTAAGAAATTAAACACAAGTTAAGAGCACTAATGTTTATAGATTTTTAATTTAAGTCATACTAAATAAAAAATTAAGAAATCACCCTATTTCCATAAAGTCAGTGAGTGCACCACGAGGCGCTATTGATCGCCAGCGCTAGTGAAGCACGTAGAAATTTGGTTTCATTTGGTTTAGGTAAGGTTATGCTTGTTAGTCTAACTAATGTTTATCTAAAACATAAAATGCAATTACTACAAAATTTGCTCTAAATACATAAAGCAATTTATTACACACTAAACTAAGTTTAGTTGACACAAGAATGTTGATTTATGGTAGTTAATTAATTACACTGGTCGCCATCTGGCAATCAAATAAAATATTACCCCTTTTGTTTCAAACTTTCGATAGACTCGAACGAAACAACATTAGTTTAAATGAATGGCCAAAATTTTCTTCTTTGTCGCAAATTTATTCTAAAATTTTGAAACGATTTTGGTCTGGTGTTTGTTTGCAAATAGTCCACCACAGGATATGCTTCACGAAATGTGGCCGCGCTTACATGGATGTTTTATTTACATTCAGTTTGCGTGAAACACGAAAACCAACGTTACTTGTTCCGGAATGTAATAAGGAACCGTAGTATCCGCAATACTACTCACGATATTACTTAAAATAATTACAATTTGAATCCGATTTGTAAATTTTCCTTTTTGACGTTCTAAAAAACGCGCGTAATTTCAAAAATGGTGAATGCGCCGGGATAGTTTCGAGTTATATTGAACATTATGGAAAAAAAAAAGAGTTTTCTTCAAGAAAAAATGTAATGTGTGATCGTTTGAGAAATTGAGTTATTATCTTTTATTTCTGCTTTATTTTATTCTTTGAGATCATTACGTTAGTACATTACGAGCTATTTATTGTCGATTTTCTTCGACTGGCAATAATCCGCTGCAATAAAAATGATGAAAACGGCGAGACTGAAGTCGAAATGAAGTAGAGCAGAGAATAACTTCAAAATTGCATTTAAAAATGAATTACGGCAGGAGAACCGGGCGTAATTAAGATTATGCTATGTAAATTGCATGCAATTAATCAGAGTGAGTAAATTTTTTCAAGTTTTTAATCTTTGTATGATAAGATGAGACGATGTCTGGAGGGTTTGAAAGCGGAACGAACCAGGAGGAATAACAATCACTCTAAGAAATTGTCTATGAAGGGGACGAAATGCCGTCGTCTGGCTAGTTATTTGAGCGAGAAGGGGCAAATAGGACATTTACATATTTTATTGCACCGTACTTGTGTATACTTGGCATTTCTTGACGCCCTTTGTGAGTTCGGTATTCTGCAAACGTCTCGGAAGTAATGCAATTTTATTTACCGTTCTGCTGCAACACTGCGTAAAGAAAACCGGCATTTCCCACAGCGGATTCGCTTCGGTTGCATTAAAAAAATCGAAAATGGGATCGCTCATTTTATGCGCTATTTGGTTATTTTATGCATTTATATGGACGGTCCACAACATGAAGCCTTCACAAATCCAATTCCAATAAAGCAAATTTATAAACATCAATATTGTTGCAATTTTGTGGACAAATTAACGAGTAAATACACCTCGAAATGGAATCTGAAATCGACCAAATTACCGAAATTTTAATTGGACGAATGTTTAGATTGCTTTTGTGTGGTGTTTCTTACTAGTGGTGCAACCGCTGCGGCAGTTTACATAAATGCAATCAAAACACACTGCTGCACAGTTTATCCAAGTCATACTCATAATGCAGTTATAATAAAGTTAGTGCGAATCCTCTTGTTAGCAAAATTTTCCCCGTTCCGAAAAGAAAATAATTTCCTTTTGAAACGATAAAAGAGCAATATAATTACTTAATTACAAAAGAAGCGTCTCTTTAGAATGAGAATTACAACAAAGAATTGTAAGACTTACCCTCTGTGGGACACCCCGAGTGGCAGCTCTCCCGTGCCTCGGAGAACTCGTTCCGTGTTTTTCTTTGCGATGAGACGTCTTAAGACCTCGCAGAAACCTTGAAAAAGTCGTTTTCTTTTTGCTTGTGTTGGTATAATTTTGATCTGAAAGTAAAATAAATGTGGTTATACAAGAGAAAGATTTTCAACACTTAATTAAGTTTCGTCCAATTATCGATAATTAAAAAGGGTTCGTTCGAAATTGGCTGATGAAATGATAATTAGTCCAAAAGTTGTGAACTTTTAATTTTAAAAGTTTTTTAATAACGGCAATCTTTTTATCACCAATATACAATGAATTACAGTCGGTAAAAACAATTCCAGAGGTCTTGAATAAAACATGCATTTTGGCCCAAATTTATATTTTAAATTTAATATTGGGGGAGCACGTACACACGTAGTCAACTCTTTTTTTTATCTGAATATGAATTAGTTATAGGACGGGTTTTAAGAAAAAAAAACCGATAACGTATGCCGAACTGCAATATTCTTTCATGCCTTACATGCTAACCGCGTCCAGGAGATTATATTTTCGATAAATTTCTTCACGTGCTTATTAATATTGACTTCATAGATAATCTGTGAGGGTACAGGGCTTATAATTTGCATACATATCTCCTCTACAGTCTGTATATGTTCCTTTCAATTTCACCACGTGCAATCTCACTTTCCTTTTCCGGTTTGCCGTTAATAGATTCAGCAAATTTCAGGACCGAGGGCGGCTCTTGCAGCTCGAGGTATTACCGATGAATTATGCATGGATGACGTACAGGTTACGAGTTATGGCTTGCTTATACGTCAGAGAAGAATTTCACACGAAACAATGAAATATTTACACAATTTACTATCAGAGAAGTTTGAAATTTCCTCTTGCTAAATGAAACGTTTAACGAGCTAAAAGATTTTCGCCATAAGTGCTTTTGAATGTTTTTAGTGGTGGATTCAGTTTCGGAACTTTATCTTGTGAAGTTTTGAATTTGTAGGAGGGCCGAGTTAGGGGTTACACACTTTAAATTCATGGTCGTTGCCATTAATTACTCGAATGAGCTTCTTTGCCTATCCAAACAAAGAACAAACTTAATACAAGTAGAGAGACAATAGAATAGGATGACATGACTATCTCGGTTCACATAAATTGATAGAATTAAAGGGGGAAACGGCAAAATAAATTATAAAGAAATGTTTTTGCCGGGAGGAAATTCAATTAAGCAGTGTACTACTAATTATTAATCAACACAGAGATTGTTTTGTTTGGGTGTCGAAGCTTTATAAAAGTGTAAATAAGCAGGTGTGTAATTTAAAAATGAAACGAAATTGATGAGCATGAGGAAATTAAGCTGTCGCTTTAATGTTGCCTAACACTGATTATGAAAAGCTAATAAGCCTAATAAAACTCAACTGAATTTATACAACTTTAAAAAGAATGCATATCAAACTCAAGAGAATTACATTTTTTTTTCTGTTTTGTTAATAACTTTTTTCAGAAAAGAGAAAATAGCTAATGAACAATCTACATCAAAGTGACTGGTATTGCTAATTTATTACTAAAAGTAGCAAGTGTCCTTTCGGTTCAATGTCGTGAATTTAAATGTGTATAACATTATGTAAAATTTTTATCAAAAAAATATCCTGAAAAAGTTTATTAATAATTTAAATAAAATTCTACATCTATACCCGTTTCGTCTAACAGATAAAGTAATAAATACGCCTACATTAACCGCGCTGTTTAAATAGCGGTCTCTGATTGGTAATTTTCACTGAACGCCTAAAGCAAAAGTTCGTATCACAGTAAAACATATTTAGAAACTACTAGACTCCGCCAGGGGGCGCTATATTTAAAACGCTAGCATGTAAAACAGAAAACAAAACAAAGTAAAACAAGAGCTTTGAATCAGGTACGCTTTGTTCGGTCCTTTTGTATTTTGGTTAGTTGACTTCTTTAAATTTAAAACTGCTACAGCATAAAACACACTTCGCCGCAGAACATTCTGCGCAACTGGTCTCCTATGTTGGAATTTTAATACAGTAAAACCTCCCTTAACGGACACCTTAAGAGAGCGGACACCTCTTGATAACGGACATTTTTGTAGGAACGTAACTAATACAACGGACCCTCTGATAGCGAACGTGGACAGTGAAGTTTTCCCCATTTACCATAAATGTCATATATCTTTACCTCATACAACGCACAGACGGACAGAGGGATTTTCTTTAAAACAGGTATTAAAGTCTTCTTTAAAAGAGGTACGAACAAAAACCCAAAGAAAAACTTGTTGGTTAAAGTAATGAACTTCAAAAACATAATCAAAAGAACTTTTGATCCAAACAAACAAAAATTAACGATTTTTTCAAATAAAAATGTTTTTTTCTATTTTTTTTGTAATGCTTTATATTTTTGTTATTTTGAATAAAATGCTTTCCAATTTTTTTATTTATTTTACACACCTCCCATTCAGGGACACCTCTTCACAACGGACAATTAAAGATTTCCCATCGGTGTCCGTTGTTGAGAGGTTTTACTATACTTTATCTGTTGGGCGAACCTAGTATAGTCGTAGTTCTAAGAAAAAAAAGTAGTCGAAACACCTAATTTTTGATTGACTTAATTCAAGATATCTTTAAAATTTCAAGCTACTATTTATGTTAACATTTAGACCAGTAAGAAAATAATTTTAATAGTGTTTTCAAAAGTTTTTAGTTAGTTCATTTGCAACTTTGTTGATACAAAAGAAGAAAACATTTTTTAGAAATTTTTCAACTGTAATTATAGTTTTTCAAATTTTCGTTGATTGTGCAAGTGGTAAAGCCATTGTGTACTAGTTTATTTTCCTGTTCGCTAATTTGAGGAATATTTTTCAGTTTGAACAGTTTGAACCTGCCTTGGTTTGAGATAAAGCGAACAAATCCCTTTTTTCAAAAGAAGCTTAATGAGCGAGTAGGCATCCAAATACGTTAGTGATTATCTCGAAACTCAGTGTTTAATTTCGCTTGATGCGTTTATATTCATGAATAATCATAGTAGATTAACAGAAATTCATTTACGCCAGATCGCTCTTGATAACATGTTTAACTGAAATGGACAACTTTGCTGGAGTAAATTATATGTAGCAGGATCGTAATGTTTACTCAAGCAAACGTGTGTGGCGTTGATTGCTTAGTCCACCTGTGATTGGTTTAATTATCCACGTTTATACACTACGTACCGCATACCTACGCAAATAGAATATCAATGTCGGTGTTATCTTTACGGACGATCCTTTAATACGTTGTTTAATCGTAAAATTGCGTCAGATAGATTGAATCTGGAGATAAAGTTTCGCCCTTACTACACTAACCACAATCAATGGTAGTTACTCGGCAATGACCATTCGTCTTTTTTCGAACCTTTTCACACAAAATGTGGCTTTTTATCTGGATGTTTTCCTTTTCATAAAGAGGAGTGAATAAATCAAGCGATCACGTGAGCATGTCAAGAAGTTAACTCGCTGTTATAAGCCTGATAAAAATGACAGTTTACTTTGCACATGTCCTAGGTTTCAATTTGGGGGGCGAGAAACAGTGATGTGTCCAATGATGACGTTCTGACAAATCGGATTTGGATCCACGAAGGGTAGCCAACGCGACGTAAAGACATACTCTGATTTACTGGATGCAGGAACCCCTATCAGTTTGATGATAACACAGATTGAGAGCGACGGACTATTGACACATTCAGGTGGATTTGCCGGTTCAAGTGTATAAGGGGCTTAAGAAGAATAAATAAAGCAAAAAAAAAAAGCCGATTACGAGTTTAAACTGCTAAATTAAAACGATACGCACCAAAAATTGTCTGAAAGATTTTCAAAAAAAACGTAGTTTAGCAAATTGCAAGACACTTCCACGGTTAGTTCCCATTTACGTGTTTAGTATACAATCACCTGCTGTTTAACTCACAACTCTATACTTTAATTAAATCTATCAAAACTTTACTTCCTTGCTTAATAGCCGTAACTCTGTTTTACGGCATCCAGGTCGTATAAAGTGAATTGGGAAGATCCAATGATTTTCATTTCGTCTTCTCTCTGATTTCTAGGGCGATGAAATATTTATTTTTAATTAAATGCAAACATTCAAAGTTTCAATCGAGTTCAATTGACTACGATTCAATTTTGGCTGTTTGAACCTGAATAAATTTAACTCTACGACTTATGTATTTTGATAAGAGAATTTATTCATACTGCTTTGTTCCTTATTGTAATTAGATTTTTTAAATGTTTAAGAGATTATTTGACTTTGTCAATTTTTCGTGAGGGTCGTGTTAATTCACTACTGTAATTCTGTATATTAATATTGCATCAAGAGTTTTCTTTTATTATAATCTTATCCAAACGAAACAATTAAAAATAATTCATGAAAATTTTCGTAATTTCTGTTATTATTAAAATTCCACGTTTTAATGACAATATAATTGGCTTTTCCTAACATGAAAAGGGTGATTGATGAAGTTTTCTACTTCCTAATTTTGAATATTGTAACAGATAATAATAGGTTGTGCTTCCGTGTGTAGTACAGAACAGGAGACACCCTCTGGCATTTGCAAGTCCTCCACTGCAGCTACCTCATCCTCATATATTACATGTCCGAACGTGTTAAAGGGGATCCAATCGCCCACTCTGCTTTAATTGCAGATTTACCAGTCAATCTGTCGTGTTGAATTAAAGTCGAGTTTCAGTTTTGACAGGTTTTTACCGCCAAAAATGCAGTAGTTTTTCATGCGAACGTCGCCGCCGTAAAACAAAATGAAATGAGTCTTTGAAATTGCGACGGGTTGTTTAAATTGCGGTTATCCTGGCGCTGAAAACTCGCATATCTCTTTTCTGACAGTTGACACATGGGAAATAAGTGATTTTTGCCGCGTTGCAATGTCTTCTGTATTTGTGTTATCGTGTTTCAGCTTCTACACTTGACATTCGCTGGCGTTTGTTGCATTCACTCAGGCAAAAACATTACACTAATTGTTGCTATGGGCATTATCCCGAACGGACGGCGGTTTAAATGAACAGAAAATAGCCAATTCCGAGTCCAGAGGTTCTTAACTCTCCACATATTTTACCAAATTATATATTTTTGTTATTACAGTTGCGACTAAATACGAAAAGTAAATTCACACAGCAGATTCTCAAAAGAGAGATTAAAAGCATCATTTATTTACAACTCCCGACTAATTAGATTTGTATTTACTCCCTCAGATCAAAGGTCATATTAAAATAGCCATATTTTGTAATTTTTACATTCTGTAAGAGAAGATATGATTCGGTATGTGTCCACCACATTTTTGTTACGAAATGTTAAAAAAATTAAACTTGTATTTTTATTGAAAAAAAATAGTGTAACTCATCGCAAAAAATCAAAGTTTTGGTAATCTTCTCGTTTTTTTTGCTTGGTGCACAACTTTAAAAAATTACAGACTAAAAAAACCAAAAGAAAACAAGGTTATCGTAAAAATAAAGTTTGCAGTCATTAATATCCTGGTAAAAATAATAATTAATGAAACAGATAACTAATGTATCTTTTCAAAGTTTTGTAAACTCTTTAAAATTTTGTTAAAACTTCATGCTAAAAAATACCTACTCGAAGTGAGTAGGAACTAAAAACCAATCGTTCCATTATTAAAAAATCCACATTCTTTGGCAAAATTATTTGAAGGTATTTAAGGTACTTATAATTTTATATAAATAGTTAAAAATAATTGTTATTTTTTGTGCATATTTTAAACACAACAACTTCTTCTTGGGGAAAATAAACAAATTAGTGGTTATTGTGGATATCTGGTCAGAGATTATTATAAAAAACAGTTAGAGAAATAAATAAAGTACATTTAGCGAACATAATTGCACACCCACTTTTTAATTAAAATGTACATTGAAAGCTGAATGGATTGTTTCCCGTCGAATTTTTCGCCACATCGATAAGCTTTGTATCAAAAATTTGAACGTAAATGAAAAACTCTTCAATTATTGCTTGACAAAAGAAATAATTATAAGTTTCATTTAGCAAAACTGATGAGTTTTTAAAAACTTAATGCACTAAATACAATCGATATTAGATTATTTATTCCACAACTAACAGAGAATTTTAATACTTTCGGATGTTAATTGCCAGCAAGAATAATGATGTCTGCTCTAATGAAACAAAGTGGGACAAAAGAATAGTAAAAAGAAAAAAATCAGAAGTTTCCTTTGGTGTTTTTCGTAGATTTGAGAACTAATTTCAAGCACCTGCTGAAGTAAAAGCGATCAATAACCTCCTATCAGAAATAAATTACAAAGATCGAGTTAAAGTCAAGTTAGTTCGTTCGTTTAAAAATCTCTGACGTTTAATCGCTTACAGAATCTTACTACTGTAGGTAGTATTTCCCTGAGTTTTTACACACCTGCAAGTGCATGCAGGCTTGTTATCTGTACAAACAATCCAGAAGAAATAACTCGCAAGATTTCTTCCTATAAAGCAACCGTTTCCTCATCATTCGTCCAAGACTTAATGCACATAAAGATTGCAAAAGCATTAACCCGACTTGTAGGATTTTTACGACGCTGCAGTAAAGTGAAATTATCGACTGTAGATCTTTACATAAAGTGGTACAACGTCTTGCATCAAGCACCTGTTAATATCTGTAATATGCAGTAAAGCTGCTTGCGATACACTACAAGGTGCCTCTTGTAGATGGCTATTTTCAAACTATCGTAACCATAACAGTGTGGTCCAAGTGCGCTTGTATGCACATGGTAAATTCAATCTGCTTGGATATTGCTTTAGATCCTGACCTCTTGAGCATTTCAATAGAAATGAAGTTACAAATACTTAGAAACTTGGGAACATATGCAAGTTTCAAACCAGGAAGGATGATAGTGAAGGGAAGAGGATATTGTTGATTATGCATACAAGCGAGTTTGCTTTTAATTGTTCTCCCAACTTATACTTACTCAAACAGTAATAGAAATTTGAATGTTAATACACATTTGGAAAGTATATTCACCTAAGTAAATACCAGTGCGCCGAATTTCGTTTACTTTAATTCCCCTTGGTGTGTAAAAAGCCACGCTGGACAAAGTACCCGATAGATAGCAAAATTTTACTTACCGCTGGGAGGAAATTCGTAAAAGTAGGCCGACCGTGGACTTAGACATCTGTAACACAAAAAAAAACAATTTCATTTAGGCACACCCAAATCGCATGTTCATATAAATCGGGTCTCATTCAAGGTTTAATGCCTTTTTTCGTAAAATTTATAACTGTTCAAGCTGATAATGCTTGACTTGACAAATGTCTGGAGGGCGGACGCTAATTTAGTGCTCGCCCTTTGAAACTACTCCCAACTATAAGATTTACCACCGTTAGAAAAATAGGGAAAATATTAATACGAGAAGATGAAGTCATTTAATGAGATTTTTATTACTACAAATGGATAAAATTTATCGATCCGAACCGTTTTTTATCTCAAGGCAAAGGCAAACTAATAGACTTCTACATCATCGAATTTGCTCCAGACATTTCAGCAAATTACATCTCAGATATCGACACGATTGTCGTTTCTGTATAACAATGTGGAATAGTGCTGAAACGTATCTGGATTCTTCAGACGATCATTTGCATCAAGACAAAGGATTTTGCTGCGAGAAAGATAAAAATTTATATGGACTAGGAGAATTACGAATCAGGAAAAATCGAAATAATGCGGAAATATTTTCCTACCAGTTCTCGTATTAAAGAGAAAAACAACCACTAAAGAAAGTGTGAAAGCATTTGTTACTTCTACTATTTTTAACCAAAACACTCAAAACTATAAATTATGATAATATTTCCATCAAAGACTGTTAACCCAAAGCCCTGAATCTTTAATTTATTCGCAATGACATCTCGGGCAACGTCTGATTGGTAATTCGGAACAAATTCTCAAATAAAATCTTGCTTCAGTCCTGGAATTTTCTTTGCCTTTGTTTCCGTATTTGCTCGTTAAATCAAAATTGACATCGTCGCACACGTATCCGTTACTGGAAATTTCCACTCCTGTTTATTTCGACGTTTCAACTTCCAATACCATCAATAATTCCATATTTGCTTTATAATGCAAATACGGTTTGCTCAGTACGTGCATTCACCCAAGTCCACAACTCTTCCAGACTTCCACAATCAGACGGCATCACGTAATAAGCTTTATGGCACGTTCTCGGAGAACAAATACGAATTCGGGGATCCTTAATTGATATTGCGACAAAAGTTATGAGTTGCCGTTAGAAGAATCCCAATCAGGATGTGATAACCCGTGGTGAAAATCTCATAATGTGACTTTCGCCGTTTTTATTTGCTTTGTTAAAAGACGTGGTTGTGACGTCCAAACTTGTAATATTATTAAATAAATAAATAAGAAGCGTTAAGTCGCAACCCTGCGGTTTTATATTCTCATTTTGACAAAATGTGAGCTGCGTAACGACTCTAATAAAATAAAACGCCATTGAGGATTTCGTCGACTTTGCGACTCTATTGATTATTTTTACCTCCGACCATCATCTTCTAACAAAATTACGCAAATTTTTCACAAAACGTTACTTTAGCTTCGCTTTAATAAAGAAAACACTTGTGTGGCACCGTTACTCACGTTTGATAGTTGTGCTGGTGTTGTAATAATAGTGGTTGATGACTCGTGGGTGCTGGTCCCATTAACCTTTGCTGCTGCTGCCTTGCGATTTGTGCCCCAAATACTCCATATCCGAAGCCGTATATTTCGTCTTCCTCTTTATCACTCAAACAACTTGACGGCTGGAACAACGAAACAAAATTAAATTGCATTATCTTTAAGAAAGCGAAATACGAAACTTAGGTACCAAAAATTATTAATTACTCAGTGTGGTGCAGGTTCGAGCAACAAACTGTTCAATTAAAGCATTCTTTGTAATTTTTAGAATTTAATTGCAACCAAAGTAAAAATGTTAAAAACACATTCATTTTTATACCAAGGATTAATTTATTTTCTACATTGTTTGTTTTAACATTCCTATTCGACCTTAGTACTAATATTTATTCTTCAATAATCTATTTAAAACAAAATTCGGCGACTGCATTTTCCTTAATGAGTTATAAAATCAAGAAAAATTTAAAACGAGTTTGACTAATTTTTCTGGATTGAAAAGCTATAAAGAGTAATTTGGTGTTAACATTCTCACGAAAGAGATCTTTTTCGTGCCATCTTAATAAACTGCTTGGAATATTTGCGTGTGTCATATTTTAGACATAAATGTGTCAGTAAAATCGTGACTTTCTTAAAAATAAACACTGCTCGTCTAAAAAAAATATTGTGTCAATTTAGCTGTCTAAGAAGTCACGAATATAAACGCAGTAATGTATTTCTATTTTGTTAGAGATTTTCTTTTAGTTCTGTGTCAAAAAAGTAATATGCATATATGAGATATTCTGAATAAAAATTCATTTAAAGTTGTTTTAACACGAAAATGTAGCAAATAGTAAGTGTCAGTAACAACATACTGAAATACGAGCAAACCATAAATTAGTGCTTTTAGTTGAAACGTTCCAGAATTACAATAATATTATTATTATTATTATTTTTTTTTGTAAATATAATGAATATAATATTTCTTTGTTTTCACTCCTCGTCTAAAACATGCAACTAAGTTTAACTGACTAGAATTTCCAACAAAAAAAAAAGATAAAACATTATTCATTGTTTTTTTTTTCTTTTAGAAAGGCCAAAAATTTATTGAAAATTGAAAATAATATATTATGAATTAGGAATATCATACACTATTTCATGTGTAGACGTATTCAGATCGAGAGTAAAGAGCAACACTAATATTATCAAGTAAAAAAAACCTAAATAATCAGAACAATTTGTAACTAACCAAATCATAACAGCGCTAATTATCTTGCGTTGGAAAAGGAATATGTGTTAAAAATTTTAAAAGTCTTTATTAATTTAACTAGTGCATGACTAGTGCAGTTAGTAGTGCAAAATGTCGAATGCTGATGACCTGCAATATACCTTTCCAGAAATTGCTGAAGCAGCAAAAAAAACAACATTGGTAAATGGCATGATAAATGTTATGATAAAAAACATGCCTGAAACGTAAAGTAAAACTTTCACTTGTGTCATTTAGTCATAAAAAGGCCTCTTTTGCAGATAAAAGATCAGTAAATCGGCTTAATTCAGTTTGATAAAAAAATTCAAAAGTAAATATTTATTTTTATATTGAAATAGATAAACACATAACAGACACAATGTTTTTTCTACAATTTAATTTATACAGGGTGCGCCAGAACTCGCGCCCCAGAAAAAATTTTCAAGTAAGGTAATATACCAGGAACATAAAAAAAATGTTTACAAAATTTTATCTGTCAAAAAATTTTGTCATTTAGTTTTTGACATTTTTTTATATCTATTTAATGATACTGATGATCTTGTATATGTTTTTTTACAATTATTTAGTAAAGGGACAAAAATTTTGCCAATAAAAGCCTCAAATAACATTGAACAGAGTTACAATTTAGGATACAGCTACCTTCTTTCCTCTTTTAATAGCCTATAGCAAAAAAACTTGGAAAATTATTTTTCCAACCGAAATAAATAGAGTCAAAGTGCAAACTTTAAAGTCTCATAACTTCGAAATTTTTATAGATAAAATTTTTTTAACATTTTTTCCATGTTCCTGGTATCTTACCTTATATGGCATTTTTCTCTGGGGTGCGAGTTCTGGCGCACCCTGTATATACTTATGCAAAAATCTAAAAAAAATATTGTAAAGCAGTAATCCTATTAATTGATAAAAAAGACAAACTTTGCATACAATTACTGTGAAAATGTCAATTGTAGAAAAAAGTTTTTAAATTTAGGGTAGTTTACTGTCAATTTATTTAATTTAAAATTAAGATATACCTACCATGGCTATCTTCTTAACAGTCGTATCTCCCTAAAAAGCACAAAGTGTTGCATGTATAACGAATTCAAAAAAACACCACACAAAAATTGTCAACATCAAATATTAAAAATTGAGAAAATTGAGAATTTCAGTAGACTACTTGTATTATTTAAAAATTTTGAACAACAACTAGTTTTTGAAATAATTAACCAACTATGCTTAAATTTCTCAAGTGTGTGTACTTGTTTTCTACATAAACAGGTTAATTATCACAGAAACACACGATACATTACTTCATTAGAAAAATCAAGTACCCCTGTGCGAATTAGGTTGTGAAGCGAAAATCTCGTTTAAGGCTCAACATCTCTTTTGCTTTTATTGCCTAATTTAATTTAGAAAAAGCTCTGTGCTGTAATTTACGGTTGCAGAGCTTACGTTTATTAAAGAGCCACTGAATTAAAAACCGGCTGAAAATATGGCACAACTCACCGAATATTTTCCGGGTACGTAAATAGGCTGCGATTGTGATGACGTGAGACCATGTCCTGTTGAAACGGGTGTTCCACCAACAGGACTGTAGTTGGCAGGTGGAGTGCCGGGCGTAATAGCACTTCGTTCCCGGGGTGAGGATTCTGCCCACTCAATACGACGCAAATCTTCCAGATGACCCAAAACATCCCCGTAGTGTGTGCTAAATAAGTCGGCGTATCGGGATGCTAAACCCTCGAGATATCCTCGCTCACCGTCCTGCAAACGAAAAGTCACAATTAATTTCAAAGAATTCTACTTTTCCAATTTTGAGATAGAATTTACAAAAGTGTGTGTTATTGCACGTAAAATTTTCCACCAACAATATTAAGTAAACCAAATGTAGCTTGCTATGACCCGGCGCATCCACCATATGTGACCCGAATATTCCTCCTCTCGGTTGCAAGAAAAACAGCGTGGATATTTACCCATTCTGTACGTTTTTATTCAAATTCCTGTAATAAAAACAACCGTTGCGAAATGTCATTTCTTTGTATTTTCTGTGTTAATTTTTCTATGCAAACCTTTGAATAAAAAATGTTGCGTGTGAGTGTCGTATGTAGTTTGGGGCGCCTTAGCAAGTTTCAAACAACTTTATTTAAAAGGGGCTTCATTAACATGTGAAGAGGGTGTCTCGGGTAAAGGGTTGATGATATACCGTACAAGCCGGTACTCGTCGCTTGCAACCTTTTCCTTATAGTTTGAACCGCTGTATGCCACGTGACACGCATTTGCATAGTTCTGTAATACGTCACTTAAAATTTGGTTTAATAAGAGACAGTTAATTAATACCAGAGAGCACATTCCCAGTTTACAAGTCAAATAATGAAGGAACTCTGCCGTTTCCGCCGCAAACAGTAAATTAACTCGTCATATTTGAATTAAAAAAAGTGAAACGAAACAAGCCAATATTGAAGTTATTGCGTCAGCCACGAAATGACATCGAGTACTTTTATATCAAACTCGTAAAAAATTTAATAGTTTTTAGAACGGCTTATTGAAGTGCTTTGGAAAAATTTTAATATTCCAGGTGATCCCAACTGGGACAAGTTAATATTGCGAGGTGGCGTGATGTTTTCTTGTAAAATCGATTAGGTAGTATTAAAAACACCAATTTCGTTAGAAACGCCGAGCTCTATTTCAGATTTCCCCCAAGAAAAATTAGTTAACTAAAAATTACCACCATTAACGAGAACCGTATATTTTTCCAAGTTGTCTGAATGACGCAATTTATCGACCGACCCGAACCTTCGTTTGCTGGATTGCCCATTCCTGAGGTTGAACGATATTACAACCCTAGATAAAGACCTCTCATTATCAAATTTTGGGAGATCCGATTCGTGGAAAACAACGATAAAAGCCAAATTGTTTCATTATATTTAACCAACAAATTGAAAAATTGTTGAGAAATCACAATTGTTTTGAATGAAAAAATACCGCCTGCTAAATTTTTGTTTTTAACTTTGATGTTAAATTTTTTCAGATCTGATTGAGAAATTGTTTAATAAAAAATTGTAAATGAATTTAATTAAATGAACTTAAATTTTTAATTTAGAAATAGAATTACTACCTTAATAGCAGCTACTGCAAAAACGTTTTTGTTTATATTTGAATAAGTATCTGATAAATATTGAATTGTTCGAAAAAAAAAAACTGTAATTGAACATAAATAACCCAACAAAAAAACTGAAAAGAGTTGAAATGTAAATGAAAAAAACCATCGTATGTTAGTAACCTAGGTATCAAAAATTAAAGCCTAAAACACAGAAGATTACGATGGATCTTAAATTAATTGCAAAGATCTTGGTCAAAGTAACTAAGTAGGTATGTTAGAATTCCCCTTAGGCACATATTGAAACATAAACTACAAGTTTGCGGTCCACATGACCTGGTCATTGTTAATGGAAGTGAGGGTGTTTAATTTAAGTTTTCCTTAAGTAAGTATTGCATTTAGGAAAGGAATCTTCAAGTACTCATTATCCAGGATAACAAAAATTATGATTTCAGCCAGTCGTTAATATTGTTTAAAGGATTTCATATCAAAAAAATTAATCTTGTTCATAATTGATTTGATGTATAAAATGCTCAAAGTGTCCTTTTCTGGATTTCCTTCTGTTGAGGACAATGGGGTTAAAGAGCTTTATTATTGAGAACAGAAAGGACAAGACCGCAGCCTGGGTCAGCTTTGGTGAATTTTTGATGTGGGTCCTTTACAAAAACAAATCGCGAGCCGCAATATAATGCTCGATTAAAGCCCAGCATGTATCTTAATTACTATCAGGAAAGTCATGAATATTATATTTTTAATTTGAGAGTAGGAGCGGAGCGGGTCCGCGGGGTTGATAGCGTATAGTGGTGGTGTGGTTTAGCCGAAATGAATATCAAGCCCTGCTCAGCCAGCCGTTATGTACCGAAATTGAAATATAAATGGTCGGGTAGCGACATCAAACAACGGCGTCATGTACAATCACCTTGACCGGAGGCTTAGGATGGTCAAAGCGCGTCAGCAGTTGAATGCCAAATTGGGAAAGAGATTTACCTAAGCCGACGAGGAGTTAAGGAATTGCTGAAAGGACATGTGTTGCAGGCGTTTGTTGCTTTATCCGAACAGCGCGCTCCGATTTGTGCATTATCATCACAAAGCCAGAACAAACAAGCATAATAAAAACGACCGCCCGAGAGGCGAAGATCATCGGCCCACACAGACTTCAAAAGCACGAATTTTAAATCCACAAAATAAAGCAAGCTCGCTATAATAAAGCAATTACGGACCCGGACGCCGCCTTTGAAAATTACGCTACCAAAAAATCATTAACCCGGTTTATCAAAATGCATCCTAGACCAACAAAACTTGGATTTTTTGTTGTTCGCCACCTTTCATGTGCAGATATTTCAACTGTTATAACGGGTTTTGTTCACGGAAATATGTATGAAACTGACACTCACAAATGTGTTATTAACGGAACGAAAAAATTATTACTTTCCAACAGAAATCTAAAATTAAATAATCACAAATATCGAGCTTAACTGAAGCTGAAGTTTAACTTTATATAAAGCAATAGATTAAGATATAAATTATTACACTGTATGGAAAAAAAACTAGAGGATTTTTTTACCAAAGTGTTCTCATATTAATTTGTTTTTTCATTGTTTCGAATCGTGAAAAACTTCTTTTATTGGCAAACGTCAGAAAAACGACGCTTTTATAACTAAGTGACAGAAGTAAAAGTTTTACCTTTCGGACACCTTTCGCCTAAGCGTTTTTCACTTTTACCTGACATTTACTAGACAATGTTGTCTGTTTCGATACCTCAGCATTTTCTAAAGCGGTACAGTGTAGATTATCAGCATTCGATATTTTGCACTATAATCTACACTAGTTATTCACTAGTTATATCAATCAACACTTTCGAAAATCTCAACACAAATTCCGAAAGTGATGCGTGCGTTTGATATGATTTTATTGCAAAGCATCATGATTATTTTCAGACATTTGATAATTATTGTGTTGCTCTTTTCTCTTCATCTAAATTGTTTGTAGGTAAAATAGTTTATGTTATTTGGAGTAAGTTTATGTGGCTCAGCTGAATCATTTGCCTCACTCCGTTCGGCAAAATAAACGTTCAACTATCATCTAATGACATAATGTATACTATTTATTGACTATTATCTTAAAAAAAAATTACACAATCATAAATGATAAACTATAAGAAAAGCCATAATCAAAAAGTACTTGCCTCCTAATATGGGTTTAGACAGCTTTTATCATTGCAAACTACGTTATAGCAAAGTGAAAATTTCAAATTTGCATAATTCCTTAGCTAGAAAAGCAAATAAGCGGCAAAATCAACATCATATTTTAGCCTCTTTTACTGTAATTAGTTTTCCACGAGCGTTGGTAGAAGAAAAAAAAAAGATTTTGCTATAGTAATCAAATTTAAACTTCACATTTATTGAAATTTTTATTAGTCTCAATTTCAAATCAAATTTAAATAAACCAACTGCTGAAATCATTTGAAAATTGGTTAACCACGGAAACAACAGTTTGTTGCTATTTGGTGGGCGATATTCAACTTTTTAAGCAACAAATTGGCCAAACTGGTCGTCAAAAACGCAATAGATGGCTTTTCGTTAAAAAATAAAACAAAATTAAGAAGCATTCATATTTTGAAAGAATTTATTACTACGATGCTTGGAACATAGTGTTGTTGCACATGCACATCTTCGTTTTGTTTTCCAATTTTTTTGCATATAATAAAAACCTTTATTATTATGGAGATTTACAGTGTTTTTCTTTTGGTTTTCCTCTTTTGTCAAATGTATTTCACTATTTCTCAAAACTATTTCCCAAATACGAAAAACACTGAATCTGGTTTATAAGTAAATTGAGTTCTTGCCAATGTTTCGATTTGTTAATAAACAATTCTATAAAATTGAGTAAAACCGTTGCTAAATTCTTTTCAACAGTTTCTTTGATAATTTGGAACACTAGTGTAGAAAAGCATTTGTCCAAAAAGACAGCCTTTAATTTTGCCAAGTAAATTTGTTTAAGTGTCGTTTTAGCTCACGGTACATAACTAAATTAAGAAGTCATCTGCGAGAAATAACCCCTGGGTCGTCAACAATACTATAAATTAGATAAGCGTTACCCTATGCATGCTGTACAACGACAATAACAAAATTACACCGTATTATAACAGGACAGACTGCGACGAGCTGTATAATAAAATAAAAAAGCGTCTCATATGGGATTATGCAGCAAATGGTATAAAGACATTGTTGCACATACTGCTCGGAAATTAGCATACAAAGGATGTTGTGCTTTAACGTTTACTTGAGACAATGGAACATCTAGTTCTATTAAGGATAGTCAACGCAAATAAGACGAAACGTGGCGTAATATGCACTTCTATATAGTATTTTACGCCATGAGCTAGCGTTTAATTAAAAGATTCTTCAAACAACATGTTTTTGATGCACATGAAATCTTAATTGAACCTTTAAAGGCACAGTGGATAAATTGTGTTCCAAGTGTAGTTTGTAAGATTGAAGCTGTAACAAAAATGAAATTCTATAAAGAAATTTACAAAACACTAATTAGTTCATAAAATACTTGTAGTTAAGAAAAGTAATTAAATTTTTCGATCGACTCAATGGTGTGCGAGGAAAGTTCCGTGCCGATAATAATGCAATAATGTACCATAATAAAAAGTCAAAAA